CCTCCCTTTACCTTTTGCAAACGCATCTTGCGAAAGAGTCGTACGCACAAACGCGAGCGCGACGGAAACGTGGCTGCAACTGCGTTACACGTTTTTATCATTGGTGTTTAACCGAGGAGCAACAAAACGCGTTGTCTTATGAACGAGTAGATTTTATACTTTCTTTGAGAATAACTGCCCGCGATCTCTACAAAAATATTTCGTTCTCTTCGTTACACAACAGCCTCAATGGCGCGTCTCGTCAGTTGTCATTGGCGTCGTCCTAAATTGAATTTCTATCATGTTCCTATTAGTTTCTTTTATGTCGAGCGAACGGAGTAAATCTCTTTTGCTCGCGTCGCAGCTACATCGAATTTGGCTGGAAATTGAAATTCGCTATGTACAACCATGCTTTCCCATTACGTTTTTCGTCTCCTAAGACAGACGAGACTTACTATGTTAAAGAAAATGACAGCTAACTACTCATCTAAGCTCGTGTACGCTTGTACACTGGACACAATAATTATTCTCTATGCGCCAGGCTCGTTAGTAACGGTTTAAGTTTATACGTCGAGGTCTGGATGAGTTTGCGAAGAAATAATTAATCTAATAATTGCATTAGACAATCATATGCTGCGATCGAGAATTGCATTGACAGTTGTAATTCGATTTTCAGAAAATGTCAGACTATATCTAGACATACCGTTTAGAAAACACATGATGTTCTTAGATAATTTCGCCTGTGACAGATTACCGAGTTTTCGCCAATTCAGAATTTCTGATCGGATGTCGTCTGTCCACTATTATTTCTGAGATATTTGCAGTTTAAGATAACATCAAACATCCGTAAATTCCTAATTCTATACATTTAGACTTCCACGTAGGGAAACATTCGCCCTCGAATCCATTTATCCACCTTGGATTGTAAAAGTTCTCGGTTTTCAGATCCGCAGTTATTAACAAACGCGATCATGAAAACCGGACACGGTGCCTCTCTATCGATCTGTAACAGTATTGTTACAATTATCAATGAGAGTGTTATATCGTGAGGCTATAAGTGGAGATCAAAACCCGAGGAGTTATCGGATTTCTTCAATACCGCGCGATTCACTCATCGTTCTTCTTCAGGAACGAATGGAAGATGTGGTCGAAGACGTTGACGCAAATCGATTCAGTTTGCTGTCAATGATGATCTCATCGCCGTTCCTAATGTTGTATCGATAGAGCTGCTTGTTTGGATAGAGCATTTCCTCCGGTCCATATTGCGCCTTCATTTCCTAAAATTATGAATTCATTTCAATTTCTTTAGCATTGATACTGCAATACGCGAATATCTAATTTTATTATTAGCAGCTAAATGATTAAGAATTCGCGTTTGTACCTTATATTGTAATTATATTGTACTTTGAAGAACAAGGCTACATGCAAGTCAGGATAAGGATCGTTCGGAAGGTAATGCGATTCATATCGCAACTTCAGGTTTTTTAAAGGATCGACCAACACTCTGCAAACAATATTACAGTCGTTCAGTTAATATAGAACAGAATAACTCACTTGGTCAACGTAGAAAAGCCTCATTCTGTTGGCAGGAATTTTCACCATACTTTCCAACTTAGTTTTTAATTCGAAAACTGTTCTATATACATCAACCGATCGTACCTGAAAGCATGAATTGTTTGTGACTGTCATTTCCATCAGATAAAAAAATGTAGTTCAGAAAGTTCTTCTGTATATATTACGAATATATATTTTTAGAAGTAAATACTTGTATAGACTTGATTATTTTTCGAGTCTCGCGTGTTCAGGAAAAATTATGGAACTAGTGAAAGTTTATCGTTACGCGCGATACACTTTTGTTTAAAGTAATGAAACCCGATATGATATGAAATTAAATACCTCGACGAGATCTCCGTAAGTGAACGTAACCTTGACCCTTTTCTCCGGTGTTAAATCTACGTTCACCAAGGGGTCCAACTTTCCGTGAATAGCCACAAGCTCGGAATATCTGAAAATCACAGAAGAGGGTCAAGTTAGGCTTCTCCGGGCCCACGGTAAAAGAACGAGCATGGCCATGAAACGAGAATAGTCCAATGGACTCTGGCGAAGTTGGAATCGCCCGAATAAGGCTTTTCCGCGAGAAATTTCGAATTTACGTTAAAAGCGCATTGAAGCAACTTGCGGCGCCTTTGAAAAAGTATTTGAGAATAATTTTACGCGAGTCTTAATTATTTTATCAAAGAAAAAAAAAACCTATTAAAATTGAACTTGGCGAGCGTCGAGACTTGCCTTTCGGGTCGATCAGCTTCCGGTTTGTCCATGTAATAACGTATGAAGGCCCTCTCGGCATCCTCGCGCTCTTGAGACGATATCACGCCGCCGCCGTTCAAAGTCTCGACGTTTGGCAGTCGGGCTATTAGTAGCTGCCGCCTCTCGTGTTCTGTATATTCTCGAGGACTCTGGGAAATGTTAAACCAATATAAAGCAGTGGCCAAAAGCTCGCAATATCTAGTACAGATAATCGTGCAAATATAATATGATGAGGATTGACAAGTTAAATTAGATTGGATAAAAAATATATATAAATTAATTAAATTAATTAAAACAAAAAACTGCAGATTATAAATGCCAATAAGTTAAAGAGTAGGAAATATATTCCGCGGTAAACGATTTTTCATTGAAATGGGTTTTCATTGAATCGAAGGCTACCATGTTACGCACTTTTAATTAGCACAATGACGTGTTGATTTATTCCATTTCTCGTACATAAAGTAAAGCCTCACGTGTAACAAGTTCTAATCTATCTGCTATTGCGTTGTAACTATATTTTCTGTATAATTTTTATTTCATTTAATTTTTTTACTTTGTATTGAAGAAAGGCGACACAAAGATTTAATTCCACTCTAACAATAAATACAAACAGTGATTCTTTTTATTTCACGGATCGTCTATTAATATTAAGTTTTCTTAACATAACCGTGTTTGGAAGTGTAATATATAGGGGATGCTTGCAGAAAGTGTATTGATTTCAAGTTCCAAGAACTTGTTTTGGGAACCCATGTTGCATTAATCTATCAGCCTGTTTGATCACGTGCCAAGATTCATTGCTGCATATTCACACGAAAAGATCTTTTACTAGGACGCGCTATTTCTCATGTAACCGCTAACGGCTGTTGCAGTTTTGATGTAGGGAATTAAACATGTGTCTCTAATTCGTTTATCAAGCGTGTTCAGACTTCATTCTTTGAGATGCACTTTAAGAATGAAAATAGCCACTGATTTCAGAACGGTATACTCGTGTCATATTTCGTGCATTTTGATCTTTCATGGGTCAAATTTATTTTACGTCGTAGTAATCAATATTATTCACAAGAATTAATATATATAATTATTTGATAACAGTTTTTTATTGATTCCTGTCTTGTCTTCCAAAATTTCTCTTTTATTTTGCATTTAAAAAAAAGGAATACAAAGATTTAAGTATCTACTCTAAATAATATCTTTATTTAACATCTATAAATTTGTAAGCAACATCTAAGTAATAATTTTAATATATATTTAAAAAAAGTAAAAATATTGTTTATATTAAACATGATATTGTTAGTTTTCGTTAACTGAGTCACACGTAAAAGAATGAAAATGTTTTCTAACGTAATGCAAGACTTTCCAATTTTCAATTATCAAAGAGGTCGAAGACCATTCACCTCGAAAAGCGGGCAGCCTTGGATCCTGAGCGACTTTAACGCGGGAAACCTGGCCAGCCTTTCCACTTCGTCCCAAATGGATAGCAGAGTACCATTCAGATTCAAGAACCTCAGCATTCTGAAGGGATCGTGAGGCGACTCGATGGTCATTCCATTGGATTCCGGCTTCGACTCGGATCTGTCGTAGTTCACCTTGTTCTCAAATATCCTATTTCCCTTATCGTCTGTCGACGAAGTGTGTTCATCTGTATCTAAGTGATTCATGTTTTCGCTATCCTGACCGAGTCCTTCTTCCTTTGCTCGACGGCCATCCTCGCTTGGCAAATTCTGATTTTCCTCCAAACCAAGCGATCTGATTGGACACTCAGCGAGAACGAGACTCTTCAGGTTCGGAAATAAGTATCTGAAGAAATACACGACAGACAAATCTTTCAGAATAACGACTTATTCTTTCAGAATTACGATTCAGCAATTTTATTTTATAATTAAGGAAACCGATCGATTCTTTTTCACAATTAGTGACATTAAAATCACCTACCCTAATTTCGAGATCTCGTTCCAAACTTCCACCGGATTGCCAGTAAAGTGTAACTTTTTTAGCGCCGGGTTCACGTTCTCCGGCTTTTGATGATCCAAGTCCACCGTTTTATATTCGTTCAAAGACAAATGGAGCTCTTCCAGATTCCGCAGAAGCCGCACCAGCCCCTGCACCGTCGACCAGGACACTCTGGTACCGTTCAGCACGAGATTTCTCAGATGATCGTAATTACCATGTTTGATCTCCAGCACCTCTGCGAGGCAGTTGAAGCTCAAGTTAACAAACTTGATTTTGGGCATGTGCTGCAGGATGCCGAATACTTCCGTCCATTGTGACAACTTGTTCTGCGCCAAGTCAAGCTCCTCGACGTTCTTGCATTTGTTGCGAAGTTTCTCGGCGTCGTTACCTGCCGATTCAATGTCGCAGTCCTGGAGTACCAGTAACGCCGGCACCGTATGTCGTGGAGACTTCTTAGGGATGAAGATGCTCACCGACAGGGCGGCTTTGGGCGAACCAGACTCCGCCTCATCATCCGTTAATGAGCAATCCGTCGTTGAACTGCCGTACTTTAGCTCCAGCGCTTCCAACAACGACGGCATTTTTACAGCATTCTAGAACATCATAGAGAAGCTTGAGGACTTGATTTCTCTATCGAATACGTGTATCTTCGTAATTATAACAACTATATCTTATAGTAACTATCGAATCATCTATTATTACTGAATAATTTTATGAAAATCGTTGTAGTAATCTCGCTTAATTAAACAGAAAAAGTACTACTTTCCTATCCATTTATAAGTTTTTTTACTTTTCTTCAATAAAACAATGACAGAAATTATTAATATACTTTGATTATATATCAATGCATTGCACGTATTAATTGCGATAAAACAAATATTTATCGCGTCGAATAAATCGCAGGTACATCATTATTTTCCGATAACTTTTGAAAAGGATTCAGTCCATTTTAAAGAAGGAAGATATGAGAAACCATATAGAGAATACGTTGTACCTTGAATTATTTGAAAATAAATACTGTTTTTTTAGGATAACCATGAAACGATACGAGTATGCGAGTAAATGCGCACACTGTCGGTCAAATAACACAAAGCGGCGCCACTAACCGCGGGAACATAAAAGGAAGGAAAAGGGATGAGGGAAAAAATCTCTGAAGCCGGTCATCCTCGAGACATGTAGAATCTGGTCTCGCCATATCCGCTAAGGTCACGCCATTGTCTTTTTGCGCAGCCGAGAACCAGGTACCGGTTCTCTAGCAGTCTCGACAGAACGATTCTTCGTGGTCGCGTCTCAACTCGCCCACGCGTACCAGTATCCAGAGACAGCTTGAAATAATCCCGAACCTGCCCTAGCCGGCGAACCGCATGCTAAGAAAATCACCCGTGACGAAAAGTTTACGATTATCGTTGCAGCTGCACGAGCGTGTGCAAAGAGAGAGAGAGAGAGAGGTATTTCGATACCCTAAAAGTTCAGTTTGATTCGGACAGAACGATCTCGTCGAGTAGATCATTAAAATCCTCCTCGAGGATCTTAAATCTGTCTTGGAATCCTTTTAGAAATCGAGATATAACATTATACAGCAGCGAATAAACTTTCTTTCCAAAGAGATACTCCAACGTGTAACAATTCTACGTCATTGTCATTGAACGATCTTCCCGTGAGTACCGTAGAGTTCTCTTTAGTGTCACTTTAAATCCCGTAATCCTAGCGCAATCTGAAGCGCGCGCGCGCGCGCGTGTGTGTGTGTGTGTGTATGTTTAATGAATATCGCGTCATAGAAAAGCTTTTCGACTTTCCTCGTATCGCGATTTCTCGAGCGCGACGATGATACGTGTTGCGACAACGTGCATAGTTTGGACGAGCTTTCCGATCAATTATGGTTATTAATGCGTAGTCGGATTGCTACGTCCTCACAACAACAAAACGGTGATAAACGTCTTTCTACTCGTGCTATATACGGCGACTCGGTCATTCGATGCGTCCTCACTATGCATGGACGACCGCCATTCAACCACGTGTCGCAACGCCGCCGCGAATACCTGACTCTAATGTGCACGATCAATGGTATTCCCGTTATTATCAGGAGATCGGGAAGACTTTTTGCATTTCTATTCGTGAAAGTATAACGAGCGAGTAGAGTGTCTGACACGATTTAGAGATATCCCAAGCCCGTGTGCGTTGAGTTGCCTGTCGACAGGAAGTCAAGATGTTTTTCTATTATGTATCACGTCGTTTACATATGCGATATCTCCGCCGCGGAATCCTGATGTTGACAAAATACAGTCGTGACCGTAATAAATCAGCGACTCGCGAGAGCTCGTCGAGAGCTCGCTCGCGAAACGGAAAACTGTTACGTTAGTTCGACTGGATAGTCATGTAACACGTAAGGAGTCATTTTCATTTTTTTTTTTTTTTTTGTTGTTAAATCCACGCCAAATCGCGAATGCGTTTACATAAGAAAAACATTACGATATATCACGGTACGTCATATGTTTCGAAGCGTTCTACTAATTTACGTTCTGTTTCGTATCGGCAAGCCTGCTTGTTGGAAAGCAATTCTCATATAATCAATGCAAATTCTACATAAATGACCTACATAAATATTTATCACTGTGAATGGATGATGTAACGCAAGTTATTCCTTCGCTTCTGTTTATCCGAAAGGTTTTATTTTCCGTTTGAATTCGGGCGACTTATAATTGGTCCAAGTAAAGGAAAGAGTTTGCGTGAAAATAAAATCGTGTACATTTAGAAACGAAGCAGAAGCGATACAAGTCTTCTTAAAAATTAATATAGAGTCTACTGTTATTAAACATAAATTTATATAATGAGACTCGAAAGAATCTTTCAGTGAAAAATGTAAAAAAAAGCCCATCGGAGCCCACATCAGGTATTCGTGCAGAAAAATTCTGGATTTTTCGTATGAACGTAACAAAACATACAAAATATCCCTCTCAACCCTTCAATCCTTATCAATTTAAAATATAAATCGAAATTATATAATTAATGCAAGCTCCATTTATTATTATTAACATACAGTTCCAAGGCTTGGTTTCAAGGAAATCTCCATATTGGTGTTTATTAAGGAAGTCGTCTATATGATAGATATTACGAATGAAACGTCATCGCGAAAGCTAACGCTCGTTCGCCAATTTCGCCGGAAATTCGGGCACGCTTCTTTACGCGCGACCTAACGACGTGCCGGAGTAGATATAAAACCAGCAGAGACGCGTAGGATCGTCAGATCGCGAGGAGTTAATTCGGGATGTGCTAGTTTCGATCCACGGGCGATTCTCTCGAATGTGGGAACAGCGGCGTTCGTTGATCGACGTCAAGTAGACGGCCGGCACGGATCGAATAAGACGTGACCGGCCTAGAAGTAGCAAATTGGTCTAACCGCCATTACTCTCCGCCTCCCCTGAGCGTAATAGCGACGAATATCGGTTCAACGGCCATGCGAAATTAACTTTCTCCGCTCTGCGGCTTCGCGCGCGCGCGCAAGAGAGAGAGAGAGAAGAGAGAGAGAAAGAAAGAGAAGAGAGAGAGAGAGAGAGGGTCTCCAGCAAGACCCCCCCGTGCATTGCACCGCGTTACGGTCGCATTGGAGTCGCGATGGAGGCGCGTTGTTCTATCAGCGCGATACCGGGAGTCGCGAAAGTCCGCAACGGTCAGCGAACACGGTCTCTGAGACTCGCCTTGTTTCATCGTAAGACAAGTGTACGCCGCGGGAAACGCGGGTCAGCACACTGACGCGTTGTTCGTGGATAGTCTTCGTAGCGCACGCAATGAAAAGCAATGATAAGCATGTAACGCAATCGGCAATCGATTTATCCCATCGGGATAGCGAGTATCGCGAAATGGAAATGTGCGAAAATGAATATCAACGGAGCGCTTTCGACGAAACTGCGCTTTGCAAGCGAGGGGTAGAATTCGGGAATGTGTTTTTTTTTTTCTCTTTTTCTTGCAACTCCCACACATGCGTGAATAATTTATACGCGATTGCGTATATCTCCTGAGCGTGTTGCTTAAAGCGGCGCCTCAGATTCCGTCCGTGAAATCGCGGACTTGCACGCTACTTACAAATCGGGCGATATGTCCGAAAAAGTAAGAGTGAAACGCTACACGCGCGGATCTAAGCGCACAGTTTTTTTTTTTCACGATTTACGGAAGTCGTAAGTGGATTGTACAAGCCAAGATTCACTCTCTACGTTTGTGTAATTTCACGCTGGCTGCAGATGTGTTCCGATTCATAAGATAGGGGCGTTTTAATATGACCGCCGAAAGCGAGGTTCGAGAAATCGACAAATTCAGAGCGGAAACTGTCTGGAATGAAGATGACTCGCAAGCTAGGATGAGGTGATACCTCAAAACGTAGATGTACGCCAAACGTTAATAAAATAACTAAACTGTTAGCGTACTATCTTTATATAAATCTCGCGAACGAAAACAATGTAAAAATACAAAGTATAAGGACTAATGTATACTAAGTGTATACGACAATATACGATAGTTGTTGTCTTTGAAACTAAGCAATTGGAACCACAGAAATGGATTGACGTTTATATTTTGATACGCATTAAAATAAAAAATGTTATTTAACTCAAGAGTAAATGGGTTGCTCCTTTAATATATCTAACAGTATGACAATATAAATTTAATATCGAACAATATATATATGTAAGAGGCTTTGACGAACACAAATGTATTTCCGTACTTAGGTGGTTTTTCTAGGTTAGTTTTATTCTAGTGGGAGGGGACAAAAAAAGAACGAGCCAGGCGAAATGAGAATTGAGCCGAGATAATAGTAACCGATAGATAATAGGAACATCGATGGGTGCGTAGTTATAACGCATATATGCAGTTTGCCAGACTGGCAATCAGCTGAGCCTCAAGGCTTGAACGGTACCAAGCGAACCCACTACAGCTGTCTTGTTCTACCGTACGCCATGCGTAACGTAACGCTAAATATACGACTGGTGGTGACGATTACGAAATGTCAGCAAGAATCGTCGGCGCAGTGGGTCAGTCGGGTTGTGTTTGCATGGTACGTAAGCGCCGGAAAAGATACAGCTGACCTTCCCGGCGATTCTCTGTGAACCTCGAGAGAGATAAACGTTCTCAGACCTTGAAGATAATTCCGTAGAAAAAAAAAAAAAGCGAAACGAGATCCCGAAAATCACAAATCACATTTGTTTCACAATATTCGTGGCGTGAATGAGTTTTCACGAAGCAAACAAATTGCAAAGCCGTTTAACGGCTTAGATTTATCTGTCGCTTTTCCTTCGCGCTTCCGTTTCAGGGACTCAGGGTCGCCGTAAAAGCGCCGTAAATTCGAACGCGCGCGATAAACCTTTAAAATATTAAAACGGAAGCGCGCGAGGTTGAATATAAAGGATTTGACAGACGTATGTATATTTGTGTTCTAGATTCTCTATGTGATTACCGCGCGTCACGCGTGTAGGAATTCTTCCCTATACAGAAAGAATAATTTTGCTGGCGTATCTACTAAATTTCGGTGGATCCAAAAATAATTTTGTTGGATTATCCAAAATAATTATGTGGCTATATCAAGCATAATGAGCACGCTGTAAAA